GTCTGCGACCTCTGAGAGGTCAACGACGCCGGTCTCGTCTGGGGTCTAGATTCCGGTCGTGACAGTTTTTGACTTGAAAAATAGCCCCAACACTGCTCTTTCATAAAAACAAATGGATAACTACAGATCTTACCTATACGGTGATGTTTCCACTAGAATGTAAAAGTTTATTTTGAGTAATAGAAAACAGCAGAATGACCCAGTCAACTGGGATTTGATAATTCTTGGTAATCAATTATACAAGAATTTTCCACTTAAAAGAGTGTGACAGGTTTGAAATTTGAAGCAAATAGAAAGAACCCTGGTCAACAAAAGAAATCAAAGCCAACAGCATGCTTGTCCCTGTTATGGTCATTCTATTTTGACAGTAATCATTCGTGTCTGGATTAGAAAGCTTCTCTCATATGGCTACCTACAGAAATCTGATTGCTTCCGTCCTCGTGTTATCCTGTCACTTTTTGCGTGCAGATTTTGCTAATAACAACTCAATAATGAAGGGACAAAGTTTAGCTGATTACCAACAGCTGGTCTCAGCAAATGGCTTCTTCAAAATGCAATTTTTCAGTCCAGGCAAGTCAAGGAACCGCTACTTGGGTATATTTTACACTCAGCCAAGCCTTGATATGTACTCTGATGTTAATGGAGGAGGAGATGAAAAGGCTTTGTGGATAGCTAACAGAGACGATCCGATAACTGATACATCTGGAAGTCTTATGATAGCTCCTGATGGCAGATTAATAATTTCTCACAAGGAAGGTAATGTTACTTTGTTCAGTGCTACACCAACAACAGCCACTAACTTAACTGCTATACTACTCGATAATGGGAATTTTGTGCTGAGGGAACTGAATACCAATAGCTTTGTAAATCGGACGCTGTGGCAAAGCTTTGATTATCCAACTGATACACTTCTGCCTGGAATGAAGCTTGGGATTAACTTGCGAACGGGGCATAAATGGTCATTGACTTCATGGGTAAATGATCAAGCACCTGCTTCAGGGTCTTTTACCTTTGGTCTTGACCCTAATGGTACAAATCAGCTGATAATCTTGTGGATGGGCAAGGTCTATTGGAAGAGTGGCCCGTGGTCTACTGGGCATCTTGCTCTTAAATATGTCTCAAATGAGGATGAGAAATACTTTTTGTATACTGTTGAAGTTGATTATCTAAGATACTTTGTGAGTCCATTTGGAATAATTCAGGATGGTTTTAAAAGAAATGCAGTGTTTGGTAATTGTAGTAATGAGACTCCCCATGCTGGCTGCGTAAAACAGGAGTTGCCCCAGTGCAGGGCAGCTAAAAAGTACTGGTTTGAGCTTAGACAAGTTTACATGTTTGGAAACAGCATTAAAGTTGATGAGAACTATACCTTGAGCCTCTCTGATTGCAAGGCCAAGTGTGTGAATGATTGCTGGTGTGTTGCCTATGCCTCAGTCGATAGTGAAACCGGAATTGGCTGTCAAATTTGGGGGAATGACACGAGTTTTGTGACAGCACAAAACAGTCTAGCCAGAGATGTTTTCTTTCTTGCAAGCCGAGGTAATTCTTGAGTACAAATTTATTCAATATAGCGATAGATCAAAAGACATGTTAATAGTGTTGCTTCTCGTATTATGATTACTTTATCCAGCTCAACATATATTGTTTTGGGATGGCATCACACTAATATCACCAATCTGCATTACTCTTAATTTGCATGTCATTCCAAAATTACTTGTACGAGAACGCAAGCAATTTTCTCTGATCACAGTGCTACAGGATTTGAGCTAATAGAGTGTCATCTTCCTTTCAAAATGTACTCGAGCAAATGAACAACCATACCATACATAATCTTGTTTTGGAGTATTAGTTTTTGGTATATCTAGACTACCGACAATTATGATAGCATCATAGTGAATTCCCAAGGTAAATTATGGAATTTTGATGAGAAACATTGACTTACAACTTTGACAGATAGGAAGCGGAAATGGTGGATATGGTTGACAATAGCAGTGTCCCTAATAGTATTTGCGTTTATTTGCTCCTTATTCTGTCTGATGCGAAGAAAACTCAGAGCAAGAGGTGAGCAATATGTCCGCTCTAGCATTAGTCTAAGGTGACACTTGTTTGTCTTTGAAATCTTCAATTTTGCATTTGTCACCTAGGCAAAGTCCGACAAATGGAGAAAATGTTATACGAGATTGAAGATTCTAAGACCATTTCCGGCCAGTACAATACTAAGAAGACTGCTAGACTAAGGAAGAAGTTCAGGCATGATATACACATATTCGGCCTAGAAACTATGAATATGGCCACAAACAATTTCTCGTCTTCCAATAAGTTGGGACAGGGCGGTTATGGACCTGTTTATAAGGTAAAAGTTTAGAAGCTTTTTGGCTTAAGCTGATTTTAGATTTGCTAAGTAGTCAACATTTCAGGGAATGTTGCTCGACGGGCAAGAGATAGCCATCAAGAGACTTTCAAGAAGTTCAGGGCAAGGATTGGTTGAGTTTCAAAATGAAATTATGCTGATTGCTAAACTCCAGCACACTAATCTTGTTAGGCTTTTGGGATGTTGCATTGAAGGGGAAGAGAAGATATTAGTTTATGAATACATGATGAATAAAAGCTTAGACTTCTTCCTATTTGGTATGGATTTCTAATTTCATTCCTAAATTGCTTAATTAATCATATTTGAGAACTAACACCCCTTCCCATTTTGATTGAACAGATCCTAGCAGAAAAGATTCACTAAAATGGAATACGCGTTTGAACATTATTGAAGGAGTTGCTCAGGGACTACTTTATCTCCATAAGTATTCAAGGCTGAGGGTGATTCACAGAGATCTAAAAGCTAGCAATGTCTTGCTTGATGACAATATGAACCCCAAAATCTCAGATTTTGGTTTGGCCAGGATATTTGGAATGCAAGAATTTGAAGCAAACACGGAGCGAATTGTTGGTACCTAGTAAGTCCTTAATAGATATAATTATCTAACAGTGGTGATTCACTGTGTCCTCGTTTTCTTTTCTTTTTTTTGAACTAAGTTGCTTCCTTTTCAGTGGTTATATGTCTCCAGAATATGCCATGAACGGCATTGTGTCGATGAAGACAGATGTATTCAGTTTTGGAGTTCTAGTACTCGAGATTTTGAGTGGCAAAAGAAACAACAGCTGCTATCACTTAGAACGCCCACTAAACCTCATCGGATATGTAAGTTCCTCTCGTTAAATATCAATATAGCATGATCAAGAGGCGGATGGAGTGTTTATTCAGTACTTTAGAAGCGAAATATAAATATACAACATCAACATACTTATTACAAGTTGGGTCTAGGAGGGCGGTGTGCACACAGACTTACCTACTTAAGTAAAGGAAGATAGGCTGTTTTCAATAGACCCTCGACTCAAGACAGGAAACATTGATATACATGTGAAAAATCACTTGAATTAATAAAATTCTGAAGTACAATGAGTCTAGTTGTAAAAACTTTACAGGTTCAACTTATCAACTTTACATTGTTTTGGATCACTGAGTTGAACAAGGAAATTTCATACTTGATATGTTCAATTGTCTCAGGCATGGGAATTGTGGAAAGCAGGCAGCGTCGTTGAAGAACTAACAGATCCTGTATTGACAAATGAATCAACACCAACGAACGAAGTGATGAGATGCATTCATGTAGGATTACTCTGTGTTCAAGCCAATCCTATGGACAGACCATCCATGTCAAATGTGGTTATGATGCTCACCAATGATAGCCTACATCTACCCGTCCCCAAGCAACCAGCATTTTTCATTGAGACAGCTATGACAGAGACCGAAACTCGCGAAGAAGTTGTACACTGTTCCACAAATGGGCTATCAGTTTCAGATATAGTAGCAAGATGAGTTTCATCATTGCACCCCTCAAAATTGTCAAAAATGGTATTATGCAATCTCCCTAATGAAACAAAATAATAACCACTGCTTGTCTCCATCTAGATTTTACACTAAATAAAGTGAGTAAGTACTCTGTCTAAACAATTTTTACACATTTGTTTTTGAATCAGAGTATCAATGGTAACTAAATTCAGAACTCATAAATGTAGTTATTGTCACTAGTTTTACAAAGATGATTAGTATCTGTACTCTAGAAAATCAAATGGATGTTTCCCACGTTCCTTTGTTGCTTTTCCGAATTATATTTCGTACCATAATTTTCTACAAGTTATATCGTAAAGCCTAACAACGAACGATCAAAATCACTTGGAAATGCTTAATTTCACAGCTTTAGCTAATAATTGATGGGAGTGTGTTACAAGTTACTAGTCATTTTGTTGTGTATGTATCATCTTCTGTGTGTTAATTTGTTTCTTACAAACCTAATCTTACAGAGTACTCCATCAGGTCAACAACTCCTCCAACAAATTATTTGACCAAATCCACCATTTATATAATGTGTCATTTCATTCACAGTTAACCAATTCCTTATGAATTTTTGCCTTTGACTTGGTTATAGTAATAATTACTCCAATATAAGTCGGTGTACTTTTATTTGTCTCCAAAAAAATCCTTATGAATTAAATTGGTTTAACCTCTCCATTAGTGTCCATTGGCCCACTGTAATATTGAGTAATAGGTGAAGGAAATAACAAACTCAGGTAAATTATTTGTTTTGTTAAGTATTAATTAGTTTTTTCGAAATTCTGATTCACTTCTAATCTAACGATCGTGAGTTTGACTTATTATTGGAGCAAAAAGGTGGGACGTTGTAGGAGAGGTAAAAGAATAAAATTATTTTTTTGAAATTAAATAACTCGACTAATTTAAATAATGTTAGATGAAACACTCTTTTCCCAACAAGATGGCTAACGTTGAGTCTTTTGTAGATTTATTTTGAACATTTTGTAATATACTAAAACATAATTATGTCCAATTTAGGTTCAAAACTTGATCGAATTAATTATTTATAATTGAAGATGCTAGTAGTGTTGATATAAAATATATGAGCTCATACCGATTTATAATTTACCCTTTATTATTATTCAAGGGATCTAATAAAATCAACTTCAATTAAGTATTATTTTTCTGAAAGGAAATCATCATTTTCCTTTTCCTTTTCTTCTTCTTTTTTTTTTTTTTGAAGCAAGGATTTTGAATTTGAACTCCACATAGAATTCATGGTTTAATTTTTATGTCACATTTTTTTGGTCTTTTTTTTTTTTTTTCATTTTGTGGAATCGTTTATTCTTTAATGCTGTCATTCGTTGCTCATTGTTATCTCAAAGCATGTGCTTTGGTTAGGTAGATAATGAATGCATTATTAGCAATCAATTAGAAAGGAAACTACATTATATTAAGTATATAATGATTGTGCTAAATAGAGGGAGAACAAGGCACGTTGCATTAAGGGGGAACCAAACCACCAACGGGATATGGTATAGCAAATAGGATCATTCTCCAAAAATCAAAGGTTTCAATTTCTAGTTTTATATATGAAAATTTTTTACATATGAAACGCGCTTCTCCTGAATGAGTCCGATACAAATCTAAGATAGCCAATTCCCTTTTATGACACAAATAAAAATCAATCAGATATTAATGCACCGAAATAATAAACAAAGAATTTTTGCTTCTATTTTCATATCTTCTTAGCCAAAAAAGATTTGAAACGCGTATGAATATGATAATACAACAATAACTCTACAACAAAATCACCTATTCCGACACTGTTTGATCAAACCAGTTCCTTATCCTAAGCTAAAAAGTAATAATTATTTCCTTGGGTGGATTAGTTTTTAATTATTTGATTAAAACAAATATTATATATTTATATTTTCTTTTTGTACTTAAAAGCTAATGGTTGCCAGTCATAATTTTATACTGGGAAGCTAGAATAATCACTTTTAACACGCACTAGAAAGAGTTAGTGTTGAAGGAATAAACAATTAGTTACTTTTCCTTTTCTTTTTTTTTTTTTTATGGAATTTTGGGGTAGAAAGTGAATTTCTTAAATGAGTATGGTGGAGAATTTAGGTAGATCTTAATGTATGATTAGCATCAACTAGAAAAATAATACTTCATAGCATATATTTAATATTGGAAAAAAATAATATTCATGAGTATATATTCATTAAGGGAGAACATGACCCTACTTTTATATTATAATTTGCTTTTGTCCTTATGATTAATGGTTGTCAATACTTATAATTATAATAATTCTATCATGCTAAGATAGAATAGAATCATCACTTTAACAATACAAGGAACGATTGGCGTTTAAGTAATACTAATAAATAGGACTAATTAAGGAGATTCTCTAATCCATGTATATAATACTTTATTAATAGTCCGTGTAGCCAAGTATTTAGAAAATAGAAAAATGTTCTTTTTCTTTTTCTTATTTTACTCCTCCGTTTTAAAATGTTTCTATTTCTTTTTTAGTTTATTTAAAAAAGAGTGATCCCTTTTCTATTTTGGCAACACTTAAACTTTAACTTCAACTTTTCACGTGCCATGTTTAAAACCACAAGATTAAAGGACATTTTGATACATTTAACATAACTTTAATTTCGAACCACAAGATTAAAAAATCTTTTTTATTTTCTAAACTCCGTTACAAGTCAAGCTAGGACATTCTTTTTGAAACGGAGGGAGTATAAAATTGAAGTATTTAGTCAAGTTATTAGGAAAAGATAAGTGATTTCTAGTAAAAAGGAAAACTGAAAAAAAATTTATCTCCAAAAGCATTTTTCAAATCGATTGTTGTTCAAATGTTAGAAAAAAAGTATTTTTCAAATTAATTAGCAAACATAATCTAATGCTCCCAAAAGTATCTTTCAAAAAAAAATTTACATAAAATATTTTTTCAAATAAACAGATCTTAAAAGATTAACTAAGCAAGCTATAAATCGTAACACAAATCTAATTTTTAAGTTGTGGATACACATGAGCTACCTATTATTTATTTTTTTCAAATTATGTATAACATTTAACTGTAAACTCAATTATTATTATGAATTATTAAAAATTTAAATTCTAAATTCACTGAGGTCAATATTTCTTTTATCAACATTCATAAATGAACAACCAATGCACATGCATATCTACTAACCACATAACACTTTAAAAAAAATGATCATGCATGTAATGTAGGGAATGCTATATTTTGATTTTTTTTTTTTAAAAGAATAACTTACAATTTGACTAAGTGACCATAAAAATTATGCTGTTGAATATTTTTATGTTTTCTTTTTCATAATCAAACAAACGAATATGAGGCTTGTTTGAAAATAGTTTCGCACATGTAGGTTATTGACACAAAATATAACCAAACAAATCATTTTAAGTAATTTACTCATCAATTTATGCAATGAAACAGTAAAATTTTATTTTCCAAGTCCTTTGCATTTATTGAATAAGATCAGAAGAATACCATCACTCTGAAAATTAAAAAAAAATATTAAGAGAGAATGCAAAACAATTTGTATATGTCAAATAATAATGTGTAGAAAAGGGTTACACTTTTTGTAAAGTTGAAGGAAATCTAACACGGGAAACAACTGTATTTAGGTACAGCTAAGTTAATTAATCACATACAGCTGTGAGCAACATTGAACTCTCTATGATCTCTTTGGCTAAATTAAAAAAATAGTTAGTGATTAAGATTAGGAAGGTCGTCACACACACACTGATAAAATGATTAAGATTTTTTCATTCTTAATAAAAAATACTGAAATTTTGATTTTTAAAAATAAAAAAAAATCAAATTAAAACACCGCTTCAATGAATAAATTTTACATATAAATCTAAATTTAATTCGATTTTAACTAATTTCAGACGCGAAAGTAATATTGCAGCGGCGCTTGGTTGCTTTCGAGTTACGAGACAAGGCAGTGGGGCCACTTGGACATTGCAGTTGGGGAATAACTGAATGATCCTCATATTCTGCGTTTAATTTCTTGCCGCTCTTGATTCCTTTTGTTTGTTACATTTTCTACGCGCCCACACAAACCCAACTCATTATTATATATTCCTTTTCTAATTTAAACTGTTCTAAAAAACTCCAATGGAACTCTTTTTAGGGTGGATTTTAGCAAAATATTCGAGACTCAAATATGAGGTTTAGTGCTGTAAGACTAACATCGTAAGCGTTCGATTGTACGTCGTAAGCACGTTTAATATCTAGCGATCGAGGCTTGTCTGACAGATCTTACATAAATTATGGGTTTAAAATCATAACATTGTTAACCCTCATAATTCTTCAATTATTGAATGATACATAATAATTTTTAATCTACAGAGATAAAGCAAAATGAGAATAACTCGAATAAACAAGTTTTAGCATCGCATCTTTTCTATTTAGTAACACTGAAAAAGTAATTATATTACGTAATTTATAAATATGTCGCGAAATTTACTTTTCTATTTATCATGTTTTCATGATTTTGTCACGTATCTCAAAATGATTACATTATTTTGTTTAGTTGTTTGAAAGTAATTTTATTTTTATTTATGATGGAGTGATGTTTTTGTCATAGTACTAATAAGGTTATTAATTATTTTCTTTTAAGGGATATATCATATAGCATGACAATAAAATAATTTTTGAGAAATAAAGATTATTTTATTATTAAAAAATTAAAATGTTGGATTATTTATACTTATATAATCATGTTAGAAATGTTATTTTATTATTTAATCATATTTGTAATTATTTCAAATTATTGATTTATTTTTATAATTTGTATTATTATATTATGTACTATAATATAAATTAAAAATTTTAAAATCTATACGGCCTCACATCTCGAAGCTTACGCTTCGCCTATACTAAGTAATTAAAATGTCTAACCTCACGTCCTCTGCTTTTAAAACACTGATTTGATCTCTTAATTGATAAAATTTAATTTTAGTTGATATGATATCTACCTAAACATATTAAACCTTTAAGTGATTATTAATATGTTTTATTTATATCGTTA